TGGTTTAACTCACAATTGCATTCTATTTATGATTATTTCATTTTAAAAGTGACGACTGATGGAAACTCAAACTACTTCTGGGTAGGGGTCAATTTTGATACATTTTCCAATTCAAAACGTTCAAAATCTTAGAAGGACGAAGGAGGAAAATGAACGTGATTACATACAAAAGGAATGAAATGTAATGTTTTGATTAATTCCATGAGTTGTGGGAGATGCTTGCCCAGGATGATATTTGGTGTTGCTTAGGAAATGCAAAGCGGTTCAACCATTCCTGTGCACTTGGCTTCTTAGGGAGATACTTAATTGTATCGCTAAGATAAACATGACCAAAACCCCAGCATTCTTGTCACAGGATAGAAGATGACCACATTTTGGTGGTGTTGTGGGCACAGACCTGGCTGTAGAAAAACATCCCTACGGATGGTCCCCTCCATCCATCAGGAGTGAGGATGCCTAAGATGCCCAATGAAGCCTTTTTGGCACCATTGGGGACCGCAGGTGGGGTCACAACTTGAGGCACTTCTGGTCAAGGGAGTCTAGAGTCTGGTTCACTGTTAGGGCTGCGACAGCTCAGCAGAGGTAAAGGAAGGAGGGCAAATCAGTGAGTCCATTGCCTTGCAGTAAGCTGCTCCTTGGTGCACCTTGCGGCAGGAATCGGGCTGCCTCCCGCTGCTCTCTGCCTCATCACCGTTCAGATTTCCCCACCGTTTCCCAAGTCCTTCCCATAGAAACAAGGAGTGAAATCAGGTTTTGCTTAAGTATTTAAAGCTCTCGTAATCCTTATTTGGAAGACGGATTGTTTGTCTGTAATGAAAGGAAATGGTGAAAGGTGCAAAACTAAATTAACAGAAGAAACTTTATTAATGAAGTTGACTTTTCCTGTGTGTTTTGCTAATAGGTGTAAAGGAGGATTATTGATCTCCAGCTTGTTCTGTTTCTACAGATATATACAGTAGTCTCTGTATCTATTTTCAACACCACCAACTTCATGTTCCTTAAAAAGCTTAGCAGTTGCTTTATGCAGAATTTGCTACAGGAGATGTGATAGCCATCAAATGGGGTTTGAACCACGCTAAGGATCACATTATCACTTTAATCTGCGCTCATCTACGCTCGGTTTATTTGGGAGCTAGCATGTAGCCATAGTCTGCCTTTCCCTGTAGTCACTGGCCTAGCAGGACTCATGAGTGGGTCTTGTCCGTTTTCGCTGGCAAGCAAAAGCTGCAATTGATTTGCAAAATCTGATGGAGTGGATTATTTTTGTGTTTCTGCCCACCCACAGAAATTTTCTATCTGCCCTGTTGCTGTGAGCAGCCACAGAGAGTGGATTCAGGATTCGGAACAACAGGTGCAGGGCGGGAAGCTTTGGTGGAAGAGGGCAGTGCAAACGTACCCCTGAAAATAGATGGGCCACTTGTATGGGAGGTTTCTATAGCGTCAGTGGGCACCGCTCACCTCGTCGTCTGTGCAAGGGTTGCTCTGCTCCAGCCCCGCACCGTCCCGCCTCCCTCTCCTTCAGGTCTCTGGTGGAGACCTGAACCTGCTATCCAGCTCTAACTGCAAGGAGTAGAAACAATTACTGGAAAATACTTTTTTAATTTTTTTTTTTTAACTTGTTTCATCAGGTTTGATACTACCATAGGACCACTGCAGTATGCTGACCAGTTTTTACAGCTATCAATCAAACTACCTAGCAGCAACATTTATGGCGTGGGAGAGCACGTGCATAAACAGTACCGGCACGATGTTAACTGGAAAACCTGGCCCATGTTCAGCAGGGATATTGGCCCCTCTGGAGTAAGGACTGGTTTTATTATGCTTCATTATTTGCGGATGACGTCTGGAATCCAAGCCTATTATGCAGTAGACACATTAATAATATCCACTGAGATTTTCCCTAAAGACTTTTCAGGCGCGGCATGTTGTTACTAAAAACTAGACGGTACTCATGAAAGTTCCCTGATTTCTGATTTTTGTGTGGACGTGCAGTTGAAAACCAGTTGATAAGCATTAATATATGAGAGCCTTCAGTTTCTACTGATAAACAAAATCAACAACAATATGTGCTAATGCATTGCTGTGTGCAGCATTCAGTACAGATGACGCATGCTTCTTCAGTGAACATCCTTGTAGCTCGGAAAACGATGGAAAAGTTCTCTTTAACAGCTGTCTCTTTACAAGATAAAATATATTTGTCAGCAGTTATTTGTTCCTATAGTCTGAATGGCTGTCTCTTTCCAAAACGATTTCCAGGGCACCCATTTTTTGATAATTAGAAGACTCTTGCATCTGCACAGAGACTTCCTTAGGCTTTGATCCAAGTTCTCTTAATAGTTGTGCACACCAGGTACACGATATTGCTCTGTTAGTTCCTCACTGCAGTGATTTGCTAACAGAGGTACACTGAGTATATATGAGTTAAAATCAGGTGAGGTGCCAATTCAAACAAGGATACTCATTTTCTGCTTGTTGCTTTTTCTGACTTTGTATTCCCAGAGACAGTCTTTTCTGTCTTTTTTGGACATGAGGAAAAATTTCTTTACCGAAAGAGTGGTTAAACATCGGAACAGGCTGCCCAGGGAAGTGGTTGAGTCACCATCCCTGGAAGTATTTGAAAGATGTGTAGATGCAGCACTTAGGGACATGGTTTAGTGGACATGGTGGTATTGGATCGACAGTTGGACTCGATGATCTTAGCGGTCTATTCCAACCTTAATGATTCTATGATTCTGTGATTCTGTACTTTGGGGATATAAACAATCAAATCTTATTGCTATGTTCATTAATATCTTTTGCTTTGACTAGGGAAATATTTGCTAAAGCTTGTAAGCACTCACTTGAGCTAATGCTATGAAAAAAACATTGAAAATCCTGTACGTCTAGTACATAATCAACACGTTATGGACATTTTGGAGAAAGAAATCAATGTAGAGCATGAATGAAGGAATATTTGTTAACATTAATATTTCTTGTTTGTTTTTTTTATTTGAGTTCCTAAAGTAATTTATTTATAACTAGCTAATGAGCCTCGAATAAACACCATTTGTCATTATTACCTCAGCTTCACAAAGCAACAATCCATTTGCTTTACTCTGAGAGAGCACTTCAGTGTTTTGCTGAAATAGGAGCTATACTAACAGAAGCTAGCAGGAGAGACGACCGTATGTAACTAGTTAATAATTTGGAATTCATACCCCTTACCTTGAGACACGTTCTCTGGGAGTTTTTTCTGAGAAGGCTTTGCAACGTTAGGTTGATATGTGGCAAGGTGAGCACTGTCTGTTTGAGCTCACTGGGGATGACAATGTTAGTGCTGGACATCATCATGAGCTAAGTTGTTATAATTAATTAGGCATCTAAAGATGCAGGTAGATACTTCTGCAAGTGAGCCATGAAGATTTGTATCTCCTTAAGCTGTCCCTCCTCTATTTGTGGCACTTGTCTGTTGTCCCCCATTAGCTAGGAAGGAGGGGTTGCAGAGAGGAAGGTCCCAGCTAAGAAAGCGGGAACATTAGAGTGCACCTGTAGGACAAGCATAAAAATTGCTGCTCCTCAGCTTCCTCCTCTAGCAGCATGCTATTCCCGGCTCTGCTGGTGGGATGCTCAGGGCCTCAAAAGGACCTGAGCTTCCTGCTTCTTGTCTAGATCCAGCTGGAGTTATGACGACTGTAATTATATATCAGTAGCCCTATGTGTCACTGAAATGAACACACACATCACCCCACCCCCGCCTCTACTTCCCGTGTCTTCTGAGTCTTCTGCCTTTTCCGTGTTTTGAGAATGTTCTTTATTTTCTTTGCAAATTTGGTAGCTGTGGGGGAATTTGACAGGAGAAACTAATTATGCACTGTCAAGATATAATTACTAGAGAAGGAGATGCAGAGTATGATTTGGCCCGGTGAAATGTCATGAAGCTCGTTTTTGTTTTCAGGACCAAAATCTGAATTAGCTCACATTTGTCTCACTATAAACAAGCTCTATTATAGAAATAATCCCATTTATTTTCTCTCTCTACTAAATATTCATCTTATAAACTGCCTTTTCTTAATAATTAATATGTGGAGGTTTGAAGATAGTTCTTACCTGAACAGCTCTATTGAGTATAAACTCATTAAGTTAAACTAACAGTGAACAGAATCAAGTTAGGCTAATTTCAAATTGCTCAAGTTCTGTTTCTCATTCATTTGTTCCGAGTTTTCTTTTGCAGGGGAAGAAGCACAACTATTGCAACAATTGTTAAAAGTTCTAAGGTTTTTGTTGCTAATAATAATGGAAAAAACATTAGAAAGGAAATAAAAAAAAGCAGCAAGGCACTCTCTTATTTCCATAGATTAGATGTAAAAATGATTGCCTCACAGGATTAATATAAATATAGATTAGATATAAAATCTAATCTATGGTGAAAGGTGATGAAAGCACTTTTCAGATTCTATTGTTCACTTGATGTGCATGTATATTACCCAGAAATAGTACTGCAATATACGCAGACTTGCCTGAAGATCCATCATATCTGCTTGCTCATGTTATCTACATATTTGGGGAAACATTTGTTTTAATTGACAATGTTCTCATAAAGGAGAGGAACGCCAGGAAAAGAAAACAGAACAGTAGGAAGGTGTTAGGATTTTTTTTTGTTGTTGTTTGTTATATTTTGAGAAGTTTGAAGTTCTACCTGGGATATATTTTGAAATATCCCAGAACAGATACTGTTATTAGATTTTAATCAGCTGACTTTTCCTTTTTATCCTTTAAGGCAATGCATAACTTATATGGAGTTCAAACTTTCTTCCTGTGTTTGGAAGACAGCACTGGAGCCTCCTTTGGTGTTTTCCTAATGAATAGCAATGCCATGGGTAAGAAAGCTTTCTCTGTAGCTCCCAGCATTGCAGTTAAATATCTTTTTAAATGATCTGTGGGATTGGGATCAAAACTGAGCTGATGTAGATGTCCTATTTTTTTAAATACTGTAGCATGTAACATTTTAAAGTTGTCTCCAGATATCTGATGGCAGCCATTACTCTAAGCGTTTAGAAGTATTTTGCGTACACAATATAAGCACTGAGTAGCTCACAGTTAACTTGAAGATTGTGATGGAATCCTGAAGGTCAGAAAGCTATCTGGAGCCTGTGCAGTGGGCTGAGTTAGTCAGTGAGTTAATAATTTTATGCACTGAACAAACTGAAGCACATTATCCATCGATGTACTAAATTCCACTCCCTTAGCAAAGCTGCATTTATGGAGGTGTTAGCAGTAATAGATGAATTCTTTTGCTATTTGTGTGTTGTCATGAAGTATGTAAAGCTCAAGAGCAGAAAATGTCACAAAGCAAAGATGTATCAAACCAGCAACCAAGAGTAGCATTTTGTTTTGGTAGTAGTAGTACTGGCCTTAATGCAAACATTAAAGAGAAAAAAAGGCTTGAAAGTCATGAATGTGCATTAAAGAAAAGTTTGGAAGTAGTCAGAATCAAAATGTGCTTTAAAAGTGATATTTGTAGTCCTTTATTGAAGGTATTCTTGATAAGCTCATGTTTTCCAAGACACTTTGTACGGATGCAGTGCAGAAGTAGGGGAAACAGTATGACGTCCACAGCCTTTATGAATATTCCATGGCCATATCAAAAGTAAGGAATGTGTCTTAAAATATTTGCAAAAAGGTTTCAGAACAGTACGTGGCCTCCATTTTCCAAAACAACAAGAATTTTCACTTCCAAATTAATCCCTTTTAAGAAAACACCTTTTTTTCCAGTTATTGATTTCTGGTTTAAGCCACTTACTTTGATTACTGTGGCTCTGTATGTATGGTGAGATAAATGTGGGTAAAAAACATGTTATCGTATATATCCCAAGCTACCTGTTACTTCTAGTAATTTTTAAACACTAGTGATCGATGTGAAATGCTTTGGTGTTTTCCCTATAATTTCAAATGAAATAGAGACATCCATTTATAAGGGAAATAGCCAAATTCCTTTCCATGATTTAAATTTGTATGACTCTTGAGCTTTTTTACTAATGTATGCATATTAACACCAAAGAGGAAGGTAAAGGTTTGGAAGAAATAGAATGATGGGCAGTATTGACTAGTAGTCAGTTTAACACATAGTTGAATTGGAAAGAAGAAAGGTACAAATGTGTTGAATGGCTCAGCCATTGAAGGTGGGCAAGGAGGGATGTGTAGTGGAAAACATGGTGAGCCTGGAGGAGCAGGACCTCAGGCCACACCACCCAGAAGGCAAACACCATGCAGATGTGCACCACTGAATTTCTGCCTCTCTGAAACAGCAGCCACTTTTCACATGTTTGGCAGAGTGTTTTCTGCATGATGAAAATGATAATCATCTGATATTTGTTTTCAGCCTCAGGATCCAGCTGTGTTTGGACCTGATTCAGTCTTGGTGAAAACCTCCAAGTATTACTTGAACAATGTTCAAGTATTGATATGTTCAAGTATTACTTGAACATTCACTACACTTTGCTGCCCTACCTGTATACACTCTTTTATAAAGCTCATACTCAGGGAGACACAGTTGTACGGCCAGTTTTGCATGAGTAAGTTTACTCACCAGCCTTTGTGATAGTTTCATGAGGAATAAAAAAATCAGACACATTAAATGTTGTTACGGACTATCTAAGCAAATACAGCCTGTGAAAATGCACGTTGGAATATATATAGACAACTTCTCAATTCATGAAATACCATTTTAGAGTAATCAGAAGAATAATCAGAAACCATCTGTAATTTCTGCATATATGCATACATTATTGTCAGTCACTCTTCTGAGTTGCTATGAGGTGCTA